CAGACATACACACTTCAAGACAAATAAACACACACCGCTACTGATTTATAAAATGCATTTGCATGTTAAACTCTATGGCGTTTCCCACACTTCAATGAGACGTTGTACTGATTCACTCATACATTTCCACATAGCTGAAAGTATGCAATACCTTATTGCAATACCTTCTAGGGCATCTGTGTAGTCATGCAGCACCCAACACTTAAAGCCGCTAGGCTAAAAGTAATGATAAATACATGTGCATTCCTACACTCAAAATTGAATGCACAACTTGGTCCAACATGGACATTTGATTTATTCTTCCTTTAATATTTCTGCCAATGCTGCTGAAATGAGACCAGAGAAACTAATGATTGGCCTCTGTTCTGTGGTTCACTGATCAAGCCCCTGTCATTTAGTTCCTGCCAGATTTGGCCCCTGGTCATCTGCGAACAGACCTGCAAAAGCATAGATCCCTCACAAAAGTGTTCTCTCACCCGCAACGCATGGCAACCTTTTAAACCCATTTCCCCTTAATCATTCAGGCACATTTGTTCCCTTTTCCTCTTAAAACTCAATAGCTCAGGAATAAGCTCTGATTGATGAATAGGACGGGCAAAAGAGAAGAGAGGGGGATGAAGAGAAAAACGTCAGAAGGAGGAGAGGATTGAGATTCAGGGGATGGCGCTCACAGCTGATCTACATGTAGACCACAATCTCCTCCGCCTGATTGCTGTCTACCAAGTTAAATGTGGAGGCCATTTTAAACACAGTGTGAGCTATTCAGTGAAACGTAAAAACACAGATGACTGAATATCCAATATCAACAGATTCTCTGTCGACTTTGATTCTATTCTCTTGCGAACAACTTTTCATTTCCCCTCCTGCTATCGCTCTCTATTTTCTCTCATGCCCTGTATCTGTAATTCCTCATACTCATGTCATATAATGTGGTCTGTGCGATTGCATGCATATTTACATGTAATTTACCACATTGATAACTTAAAAAGTCCTTGATCTGCTCTGTTCATTTTGTCTCAGGCTCCAGGTCTTCCTGGGACTCACTCAGCCCACCTACCACCCCCTGAGCCCTGCACCATTGTGAATCCACTGGTACAATTGTCAAACCAATTATTCATTCTCTGCAATTACAATCGCACAAGTAACTTTTCTCTGCTCGGAAGTGATGATTAAATTAACAGCTATTCCAGCTGCCTAATAACATCTAATAGAATATTCATAAGCAGCTCAAATGGAATGTGTTATCTCCATTAACTTCATCATGCTCACTTAATTACATGCTTGTTATTGTATTTACACCTTGTTAGCACTCACTGAAGCTGACACACTTAGTGACTGGCTGTACAGCCTGTAGAAGAGATTATCACAGCATCTCTCTCGCTCTCTCTCTCTCTCTCGCTCTCTTTCCTCATCTGTCTCTCTCTATCTCTCTCTTTCCTCATCTCTCTCTCTCTCGCTTTCCTCATCTATCTCTCTATCTTTCTGTTTTGCTATTTTCTACTCTCCTTTCTTGGCAAAGTCATTTTCTAAATAATGTATTCTCTTTCCTCACCGTCATCTCTTTTCTGTTCATCTTTCTTATTCATGCTGTAAGGCATGCCATTTGACTTGTGATATGACTCCTGCTGTGCTCGAGCGGTTGAAAGTGTTCAAGGGAAAAAGATGCCTCATACAGTCCCCATCGCTTTAAATGTAATATATCTACCTCTGCACTCCTCAGATTGTTAAAATACAAATCGGAAAGATGGAAAAAATTTCATCTTGAAGAATTGATGTCATGATTGCTTTTGCGTTGATTACCTTTAATCCTCCTCTTTATTCCTCCTTGTTTTCTCTTGTATTGGGTTGTTTTGTGTACTCATCATGTGCTCATCTCTCAGTTTCACCCCTGACCCTCAATCTGTGCCAGTGGAGCGGTATTTGTCCAATGCTTGGTAAGAGGCCTGGCTGTGTGATGGCCATTGTCACAAGCCCTGTCACTAAGGTATGGGCATTATAAGGTGCTTGAAAGGATACAAAATTATATTTTTTGAATATAAACTAATTGCTAAATGGATTATTATGTTTTAAACTCCCTATAGTCTTCTTCTTCCCTCTTTCCAAATGTATTTTCCTCTTTACACATTTTCCTCTTTCCTTTGATTCACCCTCTCCCTCTTGTCATTCACCTCATCTCCCCCTCTGTTTGTTGATATCATCAAATGTCTACCTTCAGAATACGTAACTGGGAAGGTTTTAAATGATTTCTGAATACTAATTTCGGAAAATGTTTTTTCAATAATATAATTATAATTTGTTATGATATATATTTGTTTAAGTCAACCCATCAACAGAGTGGGTCAACTTTCTCTCTCTCTTTCTAGTGCGCTCTATACTGTTCATTCTGTTGAATACACCTCTCCTTTTGTCCTCAGAATGATTTCATTTTTTATTTCATTGCAACACAGTTAAAAGCAAGGAAAGGTGCAAAGTTTTCCATTTGAAAGTTTATTGAAAATTAAAATGTTGTTTCTATAATAGAATGATAATTTGTTATGATATTTTGTACACCTCCCTCTATCTCCCCAATGCCCACATTCCTCTCCCTCTCTCAGCCTTCTCTGCCCACATGGCAGTAAGTCAAAGTTTGGTTGTCACTCCCCTACAGCTGTGAGGTGGAGTAAATAGTCCAACCTGGTGGGAAAAGTCAATAACCCATCTACAGTGTGTAAACGTACTCACTTTGTCTCGCGTGCACGCTCTCTCTCTCTCTCTCTCTCTCTCTCTCTCTCTCTCTCCTCTCTCTCTCTCTCTCCTCTCTCCTCTCTCTCTCTCTCTCTCTCTCTCTCTCAGTGAGTTACTTTTTATCTTATTGATGGACTAACTTGTGAGCCAACAGAATGCCTGGCATCTGAGGCAGAAGTTGCACAGTGACAATTTACACTTGGTGGCTAATGATGCCTAATGCACTTACTGCATTTTTTTGCCTCTGTATATCCAAATTATAACTTGTAGGCCTTTATTGTTTCATTGCCTGCATGTGCTGTTGTCCTTTAGTCTAATAAAACAACTTGTGTGTGGTCAAATGTGTTCAAATACATCTTGGCATTCAGAGGACTGTTTCAGCATGGCCTGTTTCCCTCTTTGGGGCTGTATGCCAAAGCCTCTCAACCACCCATCACAATATGACAGGTGTTTGGCTCTTAGGAATGTTCTTCTTGCCTCTGCGTTTTCTTGTAATGCCTGGATTAGGCTACTCAATGAAATTCGATTTACTGTGTTGCTTATAGTCCTTTGAAGGGGGATTGGAGTAGGCCTATCCTGGCCTATTATTCTCTCGCCATTATTCATGACATTGTCGAATATGTAAGTAGCCTGCCTCAGGGAAATAATGGAACCCCCAGGCTTTTAACAAGGTGATTTCCTTGTTGCTCTGAATGGAAAGCTATGAGATGACAAACCGCTTAATAAAGTATTCTAATTGGATGAAGGAGAATTAACTTTAAGGGAATTAACGCAAGTCATTCAATGAGTGCCATACCACAGTCATTCTTTGCTTTTCAAACTCGATCAGTCATTCAACGTTATCTCCCGTCGATTTTGAAGGTCTGTTAATCCGGGAACAGGCTTCACTAATCGGGTTATTATCCATTTTTATAGATGCGTTCTTGAGATGCGGACGAAATGCAGTATTATTTACATTTACATTTTTAGTCATTTAGCAGACGCTCTTATTATGAAAACAATGTTACATTTTTTAAATGTTTATTTGGACTGTTTCTTTGGGTTAACTTTTACTTCATGCTATTTGAAAAAAAGGAAAGGAATGGCTAAAAATGCGCGCGCGCGCACACACACACACACAGATGTAAACGCTTCTAAAACACTTGGGAAAGACAGTTGGGGGAGAGTTAGGCCTTGTAACAATGCCCCTATACTAAAGGCAATCCAGCTAGTGAAAGCTGAAATAAAGCTACTTCCAGTGCCCCTTTTATCTCAAGAATTTCCCCCAAAATCGCTTTATTGTGTCGTTAAAATGAGACGAGATTAGCAAGTAAAAGAGGCGAGGGATTTTCAATAAAGAGGGAAATTTATCCGAGAGGTAATTTCACGCGAATTGGTTCAGCACCATGGACGGGGTCAAATTGGGCAGAAGAGGAATTTTTGTGAGGAGCGGTAACTGCTATCGAGTTAATAGTCAACTGTAGGGCTCGCGGATTAAGACGTGAGATCATGAGGAAGGACGACATCAAATGAGTTGGTAGGCTACGGCACCTCATATGAAAATACGTTTTATGTTTTTTTATGTGTCTTTTAATGTGGGTCTACGTTTTGTTGTAAAATAAATATGACCATATAAATCCCTTAATCCACACCTTTGTCCCTGTTTAAACTAGGCTACATCAATCCATACTGGGTAAGAGCTCTCGCCATTATTATGTGGTCCTCTGTAGCTCAGCTGGTAGAGCACGGCGCTTTTAACGCCAAGGTGGTGGGTTCGATCCCCGGGACCACCCATACACAAAAAAAAATGTATGCACGCATGACTGTAAGTCGCTTTGGATAAAAGCGTCTGCGAAATGGCATATTATATTATTATTAAGAGTATTTTTGGAGACACATCTGCAAGCTTGTTAATACTGTTTCATGCTGTTGAATACACTTCTCAATTCAGTCCTCAGAATTATTTCATTTTTCATTTCATTGCAACACAGTTAAAAGCAAGGAAAGGTGCAACGTTTTCGATTTGACCGTTTTTTGTCAACTGATTCATCTTAAACCAGGAAAGAAAACGTGATTATTATTTTGTTATGCTATTTTCCTCCTGGAAACTTGCTTCTGGCTCATACATGACTGATCATAAATAAAAACTTTAATACCCAAGTAAAAGACTACGAAAATCTATCAATCAACAAACACCATATCATCAATACATGAAATATACATTAGGCTTATATGAGCTACTGCATTGCTCTCCTTTTAAACCTCTCCAGGGCCTAGATCTGTTCCTTTGGTGGCCTGTAGCACCCTGTGAGAGGCTGCTAACGGGTCATTCCTGAGGGTCAAAGGGCAGGGAGTTCACTATTTGTATTTCTTCTCTCTTCTTCAGTTCGTGAGGAAAGCATGTTGTGGAGAGTGTGGAGTAACAGAACATTGGGACAACTAACTGGGGAGGAGTTTAGATGAGGCCTTGTTGTGCTATATCCTACCACTTCAAAGCTGCTATTCCTTTGGTGATGACTCCTGCTCCATGTAGGGGGAATTGGAGAGGGTTTGATGTCTCTCAACACACCTCCTTCCCAGTGGTGCTGGAAGGTAGGATGTTGAGTTGTGTCAGCTGAGCGGAATGCTCTTTAGCTTTGAGCCGCAGTGCTGCGATGCTGGAGGCCCGGCGGTCCACAGGCGAGGAGGGGGAGGGCTCTGACAAGGCCGTCGGGGGCTGGACTGGGGCCTCTACTGCAGGTATGGGCTGGCGTAAGAGTGTCAGGGGACCCATGCTGGAGAAGAGTCTGCCGACAGAAGAAGAGCGATAGGGAAGGTTGGAAGAGAGATAGATACAGAAGTTGTCAGGGAAGGAGAAATGATTAATTAGACATACATTCCAAAGTAACCACTTCAATCAGATGCAGCCTTACTAATAGAGTTGTTGACGGTGCTCACCTTCCAAAGGAGGGGTTAATGAAGGTGGGGTGTCTAAACATGGCTGCTCCCATGAAGGGGCCAAATCCCAAGGGGGAGGAAGAACTGGTGAAGGGGTGGGTCAGACCCTGGAACGAGGTGGTAGCAGCTGTCCAGGCACACTCCAGGGAGGGGTGAGAGTGGGGCGCGAAAGGACTTCCCTCCAAGTAGTGGCTTAGGTGGTGTGCTGCACCCAGGGGTCCAGAGATGGGGTGGCCCGGGGGGTGAGTCTGACCCCCAGATTTCTCTCTTTTCCGCCACTTAGCTCGGCGGTTCTGGAACCACACCTTAGAAAGAGGGAGGAAGAGGAAGAGGAAGAGCATGAGGCCTAGCGTTGGGGTTAGAGTTATGGGGTTAGAGTTATGGGGTTAGGGTTATGGGGTTAGGGTTATGGGGTTAGAGTTATGGGGTTAGGGTTATGGGGTTACGGTTATGGGGTTAGAGTTATGGGGTTAGGGTTATGGGGTTAGGGTTATGGGGTTAGTGTTAGTATTTCAAAATGTTGGATAACAGTTCTCTATTTGGTTTTTGTTACTTATTGAAATTGTAATTTGGACATGACAATAAAGCATGTTTTGTTCAAATTGAAAGTAAACAAATTATTGGCGACAGTGAAGAGAACAGAGAGGGAGGATTCCCCTCCCATACAGACTTGACACTGGTTATAAAACGAAACACACGGAATTTACAAGGTTTTATCACCTCTCCAAAGAATGATTTGCTCATCTACAGCTGAAGCGTGTGACATCTGGGGCGTTGAATGCGTAGTCTGGTATCTAAGGTTGAGACTCGAGTTTCAAAATGTAAGCAATGTCCTAAATGAGGATGGTAGGGGTATCTAGCACCTATAATGGCGTCTATCTCCTTGAAGTGCGAGATATCATCAGATCAATACATGACTATTACAAAATGAAGATGGAAAATCAAACAGCATTACCCCGCCACCGCTATGCGAGGATGCCACTTTCGTCAATACTCGCTCTGTTTGAGCTGTTATTAAGTCAACGATAAAGTAATGAACGGCCTGAAGCAAATTCCGTTTTCTGGTGTGTTTTTAAAAATAATGTTCCTCTCTTACTGTCTAAAGTGAACTGTATTACTTAATGTAATTATAATAATAATAATTATTATTATTATTATTATTATATTATTATTATTATTATTATTATTATTATTATTATAACAATAATATGCAATTAGGTATATTATAGCCTATACAATTGTATTATAATTAACATTATTATAGGATATGCTATAATGTGGTTGCATGTTTATCGAAATTAAATATGGTCATAATGATGTAAAGTATGAACTAATAATAATTTACGCTCACTTGCACACGCGCCTCGGTGAGATTCAATTGCATCGCTAACTCCTCCCTAAATTGACAGAAGAAAAAAAGGCAAATAATATTCAGTTATCATCATAGCTTTACACATATAAATCCAATGATGACAATAATAAAAGCCTAAAGATACAATAGAAAGTACATGATATAAAATATGAAATATCGTTAGCCTACTTTGTGTGTAGGCTTCTTATAATGAAAATAAACAATGAAAATGAATAGCTATTAAATCTGTTTGAGTCAATAGATATCCTGTCTCACAAATATGTTGCAAGTATGCCAACAAATAGCTCCACCATTTAGCAAACCTTTCTATCTGCAGCAGCCAACTTCAATTGACATCTCAAGAATGTAAACATTTTCGAACAATATTTTTTGAAAATATTTTTTTGCAACCACAATTATCAATAATAAAAAATCACAATAATTCACAATTATATTTAATAATAATGAAAATGAATACGAGTGTGTCACTGTCAGATCATCATTACAATGGGTTTAAACCAATATAATATCTAAACCAATATAATAGCCTACTCTATATTTCATTGGTATTCTATTCCTTGCGCACACATCTTTTAATATTTCGTTTTGTTATGTGTGAATTACAGTGTACAACATGTATTATTATTATTATTAATACAACTTTTATAAAACAGTCATATTACGCATTATTAGTCTTTGTTATTATTAATAATAACAAAGGCTAATAGTTAATAACAAAAGGCTAATAATGCGTAATATGGCTGTTTTTATAGTTCATACAAATAATTTAATGAATAATATTACTGTTCTTATAGTACTATTAATGATAATAAATGTTTGATATTCTTACATTTCTTAGCCAAACAATGTTCATGTATATGTCGATCACCTCAATGCAAGGATTTACCATTAAAAAGGCTAACTTTCGAATCACATCTCTAGACTTCCTATTTGGATTATCACAAACTGAAACTCCATTTTACTTTTCTTTTCATGACCATAGGCCTAGGCATATATGCAACAGATTCACATTTTCATAGTGTTAAAATAACTGATCAAAAAAAGTGCTGGCACATGAGAATTCTACCTCGTGAACACATCAGGGTAGTGCGTCTTTTGGAAAGCTCTCTCCAGCTCCTCAAGCTGATAACTTGTAAACGTAGTCCTGTATCTCCTCTGTTTTCGCTTTAGCATCCCCTCGTCTGAGTCACTGCCAGCTGAAAGGCACAAGTTGTCCTCTCCGTCTTTTACATCTCCATTGATGTGCAGACTCTCCCCGTTCTTTGGGGACATTTCTACGTCTTCGCAGATGCGCTCCTTGCCAGTGTCCTCGAACTTTGGGGCGCCTAGTTCCCCCTGCTCCTCTTTCCCTCGCCCGAGGTTCTGTTCTTCCTCGCTCTGACTTTGGGACGCGTTCTCCCTGTATGATTTACTGCGGCTGATGCTAACTTGTGGCGCCTGAGTGATTTTCAGATTTTCGTAGACTTTGTCTAGAGGACGCTGCCTGTCTTCTTGCTCCTCAAGCTCGCGAATTCCGCGACTGGAGTCCATGAACTTTCCCCCTGGGCCATATAGACGCCGCAACTTGGTGGGCAGGTGCATGTCCGCATCTTTACGAGAGACTGCGAAGAGAGACGGTTTATTTTAAGGAACTTATCAATTACAGCGCAATATGCAATATGTTTAACAATATTAGTATGTAGCCCTTTTTATAAGGCTAGGTTGTGTATAGGATATTCTTCTCTAAAAAACCCTAGGCGGGCCTAATGAAATTTACGTTAAACGCAAAGGCCATTCGCCACATGAATTAAAAACCATGTTATTTTAATACGCTCACTATCCCCTGAAAATATAAATGTCACGTTCAGGCTGCATAGATTTTCAGCCGAAAACTCAAAACTTACTTTTTTTGTTTCTCATGTTATTTTTTCGTTTGCATTTTGAACGCTATATCCAGTGCTTGACTTTGGCAGGAGCTCACCAGAGCAGAGTAGGCCTACCGGCACCTCACATGTTTTACTGCTTGAGATCCTGTTCCTCTTATAGAATATTAGCTCAAAAGTATTGTGGAGCTCCTGCACCTAAATAATGTATAAACAGTACCGTCACCCAAAATCACTACCGGAACCTATTTCAGTCCAAGTCAAGCACTGGCTATATCTTAACCATTCTTTGAATACACTTTAAATACGCAAATAATGCAAATTTAGCTGCAAATCAATTTACATTTGGATATGTGTCCTATTATTTAATTGCATATTACTCCCAAGGTAGGGTGCAAAGTGTTACAGAGAAAGTCAACCAACAACATATTACCTTCCAAAGACGCATTATGCTCCACTCTCCCAGCCAGCATGGGTAAACTTTGCATTCCTGTGAGTCTGACTTTGAGAGGACTTCTTCGGCCGAGTATGCTTTCGATGCAGTATGAGAGCATGGGCGATTTAGGTTTACTCTCGGTTGTGTCGGAGGCATCTTTCCCACTTGGATGGCTCATGTTTTTCGCCGCACAGGTGAGCCTCTAGGCCGGACAGAGCTTGACTGCGTAAAAGTATGTTCTTCGACCGCCCTGCCTCCCCTCTCTCCTCCCCCGTCTACACTGACATCTGAAGGCTACTTTACTTGTCATAGTCTCCAAATCTGTCGCATACACGGGTTCTTGGCTTCCTATTGGTTGCCAGCTGAAAAAAATAAGCATAATAGCCCCCGATTGTCAGTCAAGTTCAATTTCAAGAACCAGCCAGATCATAGCCAATGTTTTTCAAGAGCTGTTGCCATACTTTTCCATGTTAGGCTATTACCGTAAAACCCTTAGAATTGAATTTATTACGCACGTTTAGATCAGATGGCACATTGACATTTGGATAAAATTGTGTTATAGACACAGGTGAGGAGGAACAATAACCTATAGGTAGGATATAGGTTATTATAGGACATGTGATATGGGGGACTGACATTTTAATGTGCAGTGATCAGTGCAAAGGTGTGTGTGTGTGTGTGTGTGAGTGCACCCGCATGTGGTGCTATAACATCAACCGTGAATTGAATATGCCACCTGCTGTAATTGTTTTGCCATTGCAGGTTAGGAAACGAATTCCCAGTTTTCGTTTTCTTCACGCTCTCTCTCTTTCTTTCTCGCTCTCTTTAATGGCATGAAATACACAGGTAGGCCTAGCTAAATAATCACATTTAAAAAATCACATTGAATGCATTCACATCAATGTCAATGGCATCAGATATTGTGTGTTTTCTGTCTCTTTTACGCACGGGCACTCCTGCGTAGCGGTTGTTGTTGAGGAATAAAGGAGTGGGAAAAAAAGAGAAGTCATTTTAATTTAGATTGAAAATCACCCACATTTCTCTAGCCTGTAGGCTTGAATGGCTTACCAATTTCCATGGACACATGGCAGACAGAAGGTTGTTTAAACTCTCAGCGTTCGAGTATTTGTGACCATGGAGACGGGTAAACAAACACAGAAAGCGGTTGTAGATAGAATGGCTGCGAAAAATGAAACAGCGCAAGAATCCGTCGATGGGCCATATTACCTCGAAAAGGTGTTGATACCAGATGACTCAGACGACGATTATCAATATGAGGAAGTTCTGGCCGATGAAGAAAGGAGTATGGCAGAGGGGGTTGATGAGGATTTGGAGGCCGCGGTAAGAGCAGTGCGAGATGCTTCAGATGAAACGGGGTCAGTGTTACAGAGGCTCAGCTCAGCTAAGCAACCCATCTCCCACATTCCAGAGGTGGTGGATGACTTTCTCCGCAACTTCCTTGTCAAAATGGGCATGAGCAGAACTTTGGATTGCTTCCAAGCAGAGTGGTACGAAATGGAGCAGAGGGGGTTGTTGAAAACCGAGCTAGTGGAGTTTGTGCCTGACGCATATACACACAACCAACTTCTAGACAACGAGCTGAAGAATGTACAGAGAGAGCGGGACAGCTACAGGCAGGCAGCTTCCAAAGCTAGTGAAACACTGGTCAAGCTTCAGAAAGAGAGGGATTTCCATCGTCTGCAGCATAAGCGTGTTGTCCAAGAGAAGAACAGGCTTGTTGAAGACATCAAACGACTGAAGAAGCACTATGGATCATATGAGCCTGCACTGAAGCAGTTGAGTGATAAGTACCAAGTGGCGCTGAAACAGAAGATGCTCGTCAGTTTAGAGAGGGACAGAGCATGTGGCCAGGCCAACAGCCTGGAAGCCACTCTACGTAATGCACATTTATCATCTGCAATCCACTCAGCCAACAGAGACACAGGTCTGCCCCCAGAACAGGAGAAGTATCAGAGTAAGTCTGGCAAAGGAGTCCAGCTACAGAATGATGGAATTGCCCTCTATGACCAAGACAAAGACCCAACTAAAAACACAGCTCAGAAACACCCCAAAGACTCTGAGTTTCCTGTCAGCAGCCGTGTGAACCCCTACTTAGGCCAAATTAAAGCTCTGGCCTCACATTGCCCCAAATCATCTGGATTCCGCTTCACCAACTCACTGAAGGCCCATACCCTGCCAATAAGCTGTCTCGCCCTGCACCCCCGCAAGTTTATTGTAGCCTCCTCCAGTGACGACCAGCTCTGGAGGTTGTGGGGTATGCCCATGGGGGAGATGATCATGACTGGGGAGGGTCATAGTGATTGGCTCTCTGGCTGTAGCTTTCACCCAAATGGTGGAAGCCTGGCCACCACCAGTGGAGACACAACAGTAAGGATCTGGGATTTCTCCCAAGGCCGCTGCATCCTGACTCTGGATGGTCACACCCATGCCACATGGGGCTGCTCCTTCCACTCATGTGGGGACTTTGTGGCCTCCTGCTCAATGGACAACACTACAAAGGTGTGGGACCTGCAGAGCGAGCGCTGTCGTAGCACGCTGCGTGGCCACGTTGACTCAGTCAACAGTGTTACTTTCCTGCCCTTTTCCAACACTCTTCTTACTTGCTCAGCTGATAAAACCCTGTCTTTGTGGGACGCCAGGATTGGCCTGTGTGCACAGACCTTCTATGGCCACCAGCACTCCTGCAACCATGCCACCTTTAATGCACTGGGCAACACTGTTGCCTCCTGTGATTCATACGGAGTGGTCAAACTATGGGATGTGAGGAAAGTAGCAGCCATGATAACCATGGACACTGGGCCACATCCCAGCAACCAACTGGCCTTTAGCCCGTCAGGCCGAACACTGGCTATCGCCAGTAATGATGGCTCAGTTAAGCTGGTGGAGCTGGCATCTACTCAGGTGTCCAGTTTATTGGGCCATGATGATGCTGTCCAGAGTGTAGTCTTTGATCACAAGGGGGAGTACTTATTGTCAGCCGGGTCAGATGGTGCCATTCTCATCTGGTCATGAAATTAATAAATACTTAAAATGCTTTCTAGCTGTTTATTAAATGTGAAATAGACTAATTGCTGACATGTGTTTCATTGTTTGATTCTTGTACAGAATTCTGTTATCCAATTATCTTATTTGTGAAGAACATTTACCACTTTTCCTGAATAAAATAACTAAATATGTTTTATAAATTACTCTTTTATTTCTGAATTGAGGCATTAATAAATAAATAAGGTTTTAATTACCTTATTTGCATGATGCACATTAGCTATGATTTATACAAATCACTAATTGAATTCACACAAGTAGTCTACCAGTATGGAAAAAACAAGTAATTTATCTCTAGAATGCCCAGGAGCGGCGCTATGATTTTAGAAGCCATTTTTTGAGTGGAGAGCGGAAGTGGGAAGAAGCACACAGACACAACATCTACAAAAACAAAACAAAACGTGCACACGAGATAAAATGATGTTTTTATTTTTTAAGGTTCACCGCGATTAAAGCTTGGTATCAACCCAGATTAACGTTGTTTACATATGGTTGCACGCATAGATAATGTTTTGTAGGCGACATTTCACACATTTGGTACAAATGAGCATGTTCTGCATCTCACATTAGCTAGCTAATTGCTAACGTTAGCTAGCCAGCCAGGGTTGGTAACGTTATTTAACTTTTATTTGAACAGTTAACTTAGCAACACTGTGTAAGCAACTATGGAAAGCCTGTACAAGCGTAAAGTGTTCGCGACGATGCGAAAAAATAAAGCTGAAGCAAAGAAGAAAAGGGCTCAAATCGGTCTGCCGTCGTCTATCCTTGATGACAGTGACGAGGAGTCCTGCGCGAGCACGACCAGCATCAGCGCCTCAGACTCGGAGAGTGAGTATCAGAATTCGGACAGTGGGAGCGAAAGTACACCTGCCAGTGGAGAACAGAGTGAAGGTAGTAGCTCCAGCGAAGGTAGATCCCGTCCTCGTCGGAAGCGCGTCCTCGCTGACAGCTCCAGCGACTCTGACAGCGACGTAGGAACCAAACCCAAACGGAAAGTAGTTCCCAAAAAACGCATTAAACAGCAAAGTCAAGATTCTGATTCGGAGGACGAGAGTGCCGCACAAAAGGCCAAACAAGTTGCCGAAGCCAAAGAGACCGCAGCTAAACGAAAGCAACGCCAGTCTCAACTCCTGGCATTATCCAAGAAGATGAAGTCCCGCGTTCCGAAACGCAGGGGCACGTTGGAGGTAGCTTATCACCATATATAATGTAAACGAGCATAACCTAACATGCAGTATCTTTAAGTGTTGATCCATTGTGCAGAATCATGTCGCATACACCCACAAAATGTCCATAGGGTACTGAGGAAATGTTTAACATTGTTTTACAACCCATGTATTGTTTGCTTGTAAAGATTCAGGATTCAGGTGAAGAAGAGAAGGGTAAAGAAGCGAAAGATGCTAGTGGTGACGAGGATGATGACCACCACGATGATGCCCCTGAACTATTGGTGGGCAGTAGTGAAGAGGCGGCAGATGACAGCGACAGTCTGAAGGACTTCGTAGTTGAGGATAAGAAAAAGACAGTGGACAAGGAGGAGTCAGATGAAAAGGCTGTTTCTCTTCCACGCCAGTGTGAGTCTTTGCTGACACTATATCATGGGTCAATGTTTACACCTGAAAGCATCACTACTATGTGTTATGATTCCTTTTCCTCTTGCCTCTTTTTGCTAGTCATCACTGGGTCTCAGCTCAATCACTTTCAAGTGGTCGTCAAAGCCCTTATGATCAACGTCCTAGATGAAACCTTTCTCAAGTCTCTTTACGGTAAGTGTTTTTAAACAATCAGGGTCTTAAACACCATCCCCAATTTACTGTATGATCCAAGTGTAGGGAATCTAATCGGTTGATCACTGTGAGCAGGCGGTGATCGGACAAAGCGATATGCTCAGGAGATGATGGCGTCGCTGTTCCACTTTGATGAGAGGACGATCCTCCCTCGCCTGGAGAACCTAAAACAGCGGAGCCGCTGGACTGACCGGTACAAGGTGAAGAAACATTTCTCAGAGAACTTAAGTCATTCAACATTGGCTGCATATTCACTGATCTGTATACAGCTATGCTTGTACTTTGGCTAAGACTTCCATTTTTACATTATGTGAAAAAGCAATATGCAAACTGAGGTATGTGTTTTTGTGTCCATGTGCAGGAGCGGGTGGAGTGTTACCCCAAGGTCCGGCTGATGAAGTTAGGATTGCATGGGAGTGTTTGTGAGGCATGCAAGCTCCAGAGACAGTGCAGTTTCAGTGTGCGTCTCTCGGGGCAACTGTACGACCTCAACAGCCTCCAAGAGGACAAATTCATGCCTGATGACACACAGGTACTACATCTGAGAAGAAATCAAGTCTTTGTTTTAATCATCACTGTCCCCAGATGAACGCATACAGTACATGTGACATTGGCATCCCATAAAACCCACCCTAACAAAAAGTACATCACAACAGATCAACGTCAGATTAAATAATGATGTATCCTTATCCTTGCACCAATTTAACCTTTTGTGAAATGTAATCTTTGCAGTTTGTCTGAGGGAGAGGGTTTTCAACGACAGGTCACTTACCTTGCATGTATTTCCTAAATTACAGGCTTTCAGTGTGGGCTCCGTTTGTGCCAGCCGAACAGAGGTGTATCATGCTCTGAAACACTTCAAGTACCACTTGTTTCAACACTGCCGGACAGTGATGGAGGAGGAGAAGAATGGAGAGGAGGAGCCGGTGAAGGAAACGGTGAAAAGAGTGTTCACAAAACTGGAGGAGAGTGGCTGGATCTCAGAGGTATATACCCCACTTCCCCTCCATAAAATGACAGTACTCCTCATTGAATCGTCATCATCTAATGCCTGTTTCAGTGTTCCCCCAAACTCTACTCTGTCAAATGTGTAGAATAGAAAGCAATGCTTTCTGATTTTCCTCACTGACCCTCACTCACTGTTTCATTCCCATGTCTCTCTCAGCAATATGAGAAGTTCCAGGACCATCTCCATGATGCGGACTACTTCCAGGAGGAGAAGCTAGACTGAAGGATTACCACAGACAGGATCATGGATCTACATCATATTATATTATAGGCATCCATTTAACAGTTTTACTGTTTATTCTGCACATTGTTAGGAAATAAGTGTTTTATTCATATACATTTTATTTGACTTCTTCCATTCAATGTTAACATTTAAGATTGTACTGAAAGCTTTTTAAAACTATTTTCCTCCTTTAGTCGTTACCCTATACCAAGACATCTATTGTACCTGTATTTTATCAACCATTTTATATCAGTAAATGCTCATAAGCAACCAAAACATTTAGTGTAGACATATGTTATATACTGTATGTGCAAAGATGAAGCAGAATACTCTGGTACTGCTGTAAATCAAAAATGCTACCCCTGAGTGTTTTCATTAAACTGTCCTAGTTACCTTTCCTACTAAGTTGAAGCAGTGCTGTCCTTCCAATAGTTAAGATAATGTCAAATGGAGTTTGCTACGACAGATGACCTCAAATGAAATGACCATATAAACATGAGTCATTTTCTCTGTGGACTGCAGTATTCAGTATAGGATGGTACGACTCTTGTGAGTTGCTTATTTTCTATCAAAACGCCTGTGTGATGCTTCATAACACAAACCAATAATAAAAACTACATTAAACAGTATGTTGTCCATCCGTGTACAATTGCAGTGTGAAATATGAAAGTCTCTGGCATGCAAGAAACAAACCAAAACTATAAAAAAATACAGAAATGAAACCACAGACAAATGTAACACTAGTTGGGAGACTCTTACATCAGTCCCAACTTGTACTCCATCATGAGATGTGGCTCTCCCATAAATATATCACACACACCCCTTTGTTAAACAGCTGAATGATGGCAGTTTTCAAATACTCTAGTAAAAGGCATAGGTGCTGACTAATGGAGAGTAAACTATACAAATAAAGAAACTTGCATACTAATTATGCTCCCAAACATTTAATGGGTATAGCAACCAACGTTTCGGCACGCAGTGCTTTCTGAAGAAGGTACTGCGTGCCAAAATGTTGGATGCTATACCCATTAAATGATCGGGAGCATAATTGATTAGTGTGCAACTTTCTTTTTATAGTATTCAAATACTTACCATTAAGAACGTCCTCAAACCAGATGCTCTAGTGTGTCTAGGGCAAGGTTGGAACTTTGTAAGAATTCCTCAGTTATTCTGCGCTCTGGCACACTCAGACGAGAGTGCTCTGAAATTGGAGTAATAATAATAATAATAATAATATGCCATTTAGCAGACGCTTTTATCCAAAGCGACTTACAGTCATGCGTGCATACATTTTTTGTGTATGGGTGGTCCCGTAGATAGCCAGAGTGAATTTACGAACGCACCCGTTGTAGGAAGGGAAAGCGCTGAGTCTGCTCGGATAAGATGACAGTGTAATAAAGTGTGGGAAAGACAGATACTACCACATGCCTGTGTAGTCCATTTCAGTGTGTGAATGAATATTACCTGTCTTGTTGCCCTGAACTCCATCTGTAGTTTAAGAGGAGCATGGAGGCCCTGAATGTTCCTAAGAGTTAAAAAATCCATCTTGTCCTGGTTTAGCTGGAACTGGAAAAACAACTCAAAACCTATTACACTCAGGTTTATGCACAGTTCATTTAAAAAAGGAGGTATAGTGTCCAAACTAAACACAATCTTATGGAAGTTCAGTTATTCATGTACGAGTGCATTTCTTATGGAGCTACATGTGTTTGTGAATAGGTAAGGCCAGTTATAAACCAAGCTTAGGTCTCCCGTTTTTTTCTCTGAGAGTTCCAGTGGAGGACTGGGGAGTAGCTCGTTCCTCACACTGGAAAACCTGTAGCGACAGCAACACAAGACATACAGTTTGAATCACTGGGTATCAGTGAAAGGGCCTTGGCCAATAACTTTTTTATTGAATATGTGGTGTGATGTGGCTGACACTCACCCGCTTCGGAACGTGTCCTGGACGCCATAAGATCCTGCTTGGAGACCTGTGACTGGAACACTGTCCTTCAGATGAGCACGTAGTCCACGGCAATTCTGCAATTCAGATAAATATTTGTATAGTCATACAGACGCCAGGGGGCTGTAGAAAATGTAAGTACTTCAATGTCTGAGTGATGATTTAGGTTAGCTAGCAAGTTAATTATGGTAGAGAAAGATGGCCCAAGATCTGTGTTTAGAGGCATCCTGTCCTACATCCGTCTACTGTACGGTCCTCACAAGTTCTGTCATAATTATGCCTATTTATTATTAATTATCGCCCACTTCTAAAACTTATCTTCTTAAAATCTGATTTTAAACCTAACCACACTGCTAACCTTACATTTACATTTTAGTCATTTAGCAGAGGCTCTTATCCAGAGCGACTTACAGTTAGTGAATGCATACATAATAGTTTTTTTCATACTGGCCCCCGGTGGGAAACGAACCCACATCCCTGCCGGCCAAACCCTCCCCTACCTTGGACGACGCTGGACCAATTGTGCGCCGCCCATGGGTCTCCCGGTCGCGGCCGGCTGCAACAGAGCCTGGACTCGAACCAGGATCTCTAGTGGCACAGCTACTCTAGTGTGTCTAGGGCAAGGTTGGAACTTTGTAAGAATTCCTCAGTTATTCTGCGCTCTGGCAAACTCAGACGAGTGCCACTCGGGAGACCTTATGCCTAACCTTAAATTAAGACAAAAAACACATTTTTGTAGCCAATTTTGGCTGTGTCTGTGGAATCTGACTTTGTTATCTAATGGATAACTATTGTACTGACTTCTCTTCTCAAGTGAAATTAGTTGCTGTCTGAATTTCTCCATCTTTGGGGAGCAGATAAGGCAACCAGAGTTGTAAGCAAGTACACAATCAAAGACACTGATAACTAACTAGCTAGCAATTCAACTTGCAATCATTTTGCTAGCTTAGGACATTTAGCAAGGTAACTAGCTAGCTAGCAAATTCCTAGAGAACTTGATGTAGCTGGCTAGCTAACTAGTATGGATCATTGGTATGGATGGATCAAACAAAGCTAGCTGGCTACTATAACGGTAAATGGTTAGCTAACGTTAGCTATATACTTATCTAGCTAGTTAGCTGTAACATTGTCTTTGACCTCTCGAAATGGTATCAGTATGAAAAGCTTTTCTAGAGTAATATGCTATATGGCACTGGGTTATAAGAAATAGTTACAAAGCTAGCTAGCAACCTACTCGAAATACTCACCATGGCTGCTGTCTTGTCATTCAATCGAACAAATGCTGACTGGCTACATCCGGTGTAGACTCTGGAACTAGCTAGCGTCGAGCGACTCCTAGATATAGACTTGGTTTGTCTCTAAACTGTAGCGATTGACTGTAGCCAAAACATTTAAATTGTCTAGGAAATAAAACCACAAGCAGCCCAAAGTGAAGTCAATGTTATAATACGCTACATTTTACAATCAAAGCATAGCGATGCTGTTGAATATGTAGCTGTATATACTAAAATATTCCTATCCTTATCATAAGGGGGTATAGCTCAGTGGTAGAGCATTTGACTGCAGATCAAGAGGTCCCCGGTTCAAATCCGGGTGCCCCCTCATTTTTGTGATTTTTTAGCCCTAGTTATAGACAACACTGATGGACCATAAGCAATATTGGGTTTGAATGTTGTTTTTGACAACAGTAACTTCGAAAAAATAGGTAGTTTAATTGCACAATCATGGGTTATTGTTACGAATCTTGCCCTGGAGGCAGAACTGAACAATTTCCGCTAGATGGGACAGCTGCAAAGTCAAACGTAGCTATATTTTACAAATTCATGAAAACAACATTTTGCTGTTTGGTCTTAATTTAAGGTTAGGGTTAGTAGTGTGGTTAAGGTTAGGTTTAAAATCTGATTTGATTACTTAGTGGCTGTGTCAGCTAGTGAACACTCTGCAGAGCCTCTTCCAGAACAATATTCATGCCGAAAAAGGCTAACCTGCTTTAGAAGAGTCCAAAAAGCAATCAATCTATAGTATATAATGCCAACACTTTTTTTTATATTGTCCCCATCCAAGGAATATCTTCAAGTTATAGTAATGTATAACAAAGGCAAAGGACATGATCTTGGTCAAACAGGAGGTTAACAACATCAAAGGAAATCTAAGAAAATATATATTTTTATAAAAATGTAATCATGATAACCATACAATTACAAAATGCGGTACGAAATATCACTCAGGACAGTGAAAACAGTGGAAATAGATGCTTTTTGCATAATGCTCTTGTCAATAAAACAGTCATATTCCAGGTCCAGTAAAGTGAGCTGTGACATGGTCCCTCTGGCTCAAACCAAGTTGAATATTTGTCTTTATGAGTGTTGGTACATCCACTTAGCTAGCAGTCCTGGTCACAGCAGCACTTCTTCCTTGCATAGAATCTCCATCAGCAAGCAAGCAGAAATCCAAAGCACTTTCTGTATTGAAATAGCTAGGGTCTCTCCCCTTCACTTTCAGTGTTGATCAGAGTTCATCCTTCTCCAGGCTGGGATCATCTCTTTGAGGCTCTTGCTGACATCTGCAAATGGCACTCTGGTCTGAAGGCTGGGGCACCAGCTCCATGTCTGGATGTAGTGTGGGACGGCTCGTCTGACGCTCAGAGTACATCTGTTATGACAGGAGAAAACTTCCTCAGCTGGGTTTCTTTTATCAATGATAAGAATGCTACCTTAATATATCTGAGCTGATTTAGCATTGGCATGCATAGCATAAAGACAATACCAGGAGGTAATTACCTGTAGCACACTGTAATAGTAACAGTACAGTCTGTTCGGTTGTACAAGCTCTCTTACAATTGCCTGGCCTGCTTTAGCGATCGCCTGTGCTTCAGCATCATTCTCCTGCAGGGAAAATAAAGACATTAATATCTTAATCAAATATCCACAAAAACACAGCTAAATCCTAATGGTAACAACATGCATTTGCATTGCAAGCAGACAAACATGCAAATGGTGGCAAATACATATTGACACACATTGACATGCACTCCTTGGCATGTCCTTCCTTAACATGCATTTACTGCTTGGCATACGACCGCAAGGCACTACAGAGGGTAGTGTGTACGGCCCAGTACATCACTGGGGCCAAGCTCCCTGCCATGCAGGACCTCTATACCAGGCGGTGTCAGAGGAAGGCCCTAAAAATGGTCAAAGACTCCAGCAACCCAAGTCATAGATTGTTCACTCTGCTACCGCACGCCAAGCGGTACTGATGCACCAAGTTTGGAACCAGCAGGACCCTGAACAACTTCTACTCCCCCAAAACATTAGACTACTAAATAGTTAACCAAATAGCAACCCGGACTATCTGCATTGACCCCCTTTGCACTAACTATTTTGCATACGCTGCTGCTACTGCTTATTATCTATCCTGTTGCCTAGTCACTTTACCCCTACCTACAGTGCATTCAGAAAGTATTCATACCCCTTGAGTTTTTCCACATTTTGTTACGTTACAGCCTTATTCTAAAATTGATACAATTGTTTTCTCTCCTCATCAATCTACACACAATACCCCATAATGACAAAGCAAAAACAAGTTTTGAGAAAATGTTACAAATGTATTAAACATTTAACTGAAATATCACATTTACATAAGAATTCAGACCCTTTACTCAGTACTTTGTTGAAGCACCTTTGGCAGCTATTACAGCCTTGAGTCTTCTTGGGTATGGAGCTACAAGCTTGGCACACCTGTATTTGGGGAGCTTCTCCCATTCTTCTCTGCAGATCCTCTCAAGCTCTGTCAGGTTGGATGGGGAGCGTCGCTGCACAGCTATTTTCAGGTCTCTCCAGATATGTTCGATCTGGTTCAAGTCCAGGCTTTATCTGGGCCACTCAAGGACATTCAGAGACTTGTCCCAAAGCCCCTCCTGCGTTGTTTTGGCTGTGTGCTTAGGGTTGTTGTCCTGTTGGAAGGTGAACCTTCGCCCCAGTCTGAAGTCCTGAGTGCTCTGGAGCAGGTTTTCATCAAGGATCTCTCTGTACTTTGCTCCGTTCATCTTTCCCTCGATCCTGACTAATCTCCCAGTCCCTGAAGCTGAAAAACATCCCCAGAGCATGATGCTGCCACCACCATGCTCCACTGTAGGGATGGTGCCAGGTTTCCTCCAGACGTGATGCTTGGCATTCATTCAAGTTCAATCTTGGTTTCATCAGACCAGAGAATCTTATTTCTCATGGTCTGAGAGTCCTTTAGGTGCCTTTTGGCAAACTCCAAGTGGGCTGTCATGTGCCTTTTAATGAGGAGTGGCATCCGTCTGGCCACTCTACCATAAAGACCTGATTGGTGGACTGCTGCAGAGATGGTTGTCCTTCTGGAAGGTTCTCCCATCTCCACAGAGGAACTCTGGAGCTCTGTCAGAGTGACCATAGGGTTCTTGGTCACCTCCCTGACCAAGGCCCTTTTCCCCCGATTGTTCAGTTTGGCTGGGCGACCAGCTCTTGGAAGAGTCTTGGTGATTCCAAACTTCTTCCATTTAAGAATGATGGAGGCCACTATGTTCTTGGGGACCTTCAATGCTGCAGAATTATTTTGGTACCTGTTACGGATACAGGTATCCTGTGTCTTTTTGTGTTTTTCCTCTCCTTCTGCCCTAATCACAGGTGTCCTGTATGTTCCTGATTGGTGGTCGTTGGGGTGTCTGCTGATTGCTGAGGTGGACCAATCAGTGGACATTCCTCTGCATTGCACCACCTGTTTCTGGTTTTTCAATCACACATCCCATTGTTTAAAAGCCAGTCAGTTGTGTTTGTAGAGAGAGACTATTTCCGTATGTGAGTATGGATACTGTGGTGTCCTGTGTACGCACTCATTTGCTGGTTACTCTGTTTGGTAACTTTGTTAGAGACTATTTTCCGTATGCGAGTATGGATACTGTGGTGTCCTGTGTTTTGTGTACTCACTCATTTGCTGGTTACTCTGTTTGGTAACTTTGTTGTGTGTTTCTGGGAAAAGGGGGATTTAAGCAAGTTGCCCTTGGGCATACATTACCCGTAGGAAGAAAACTGTCTAAAAACACTAGTTAGATCTGAGCGGACCACCCACTGTAATTTTTGTATGATTAGCAGTAGCTTAGCGGTTCTTGAGGCAGACAAGATCAGTTTAGGTTTTTTTTACACTATTGTTTCATTTCTTGGGTCCTGCTCAGCCCTTTTTCCCAAACCTTTACCGTGTGTTCAAAAATAAACCTTTTTATGTTTGACGGTACTTTATGGTTGTCGTGTAGTTTTTGTTCTCACTGTTCCATGTCACGATTCTAATTTACATGAATTATGTTACGGGTCTCTTGTCCATCCACCATAGATGTTTAAAGCCACGGGTTCGTAACAGTACCCTTCCCCAGATCTGTGCCTCGACACAATCCTGTCCCGGAGCTCTACGGACAATTCCTTTGACCTCATGGCTTGGTTTTTGCTCTGACATGCACTGTCAACTGTTGGACCTTATATAGACAGGTGTGTGCCTTTCCAAATCATGTGCAATTATTTGAATTTACCACAAGTGGACTCCAATCAAGTTGTAAAAAAATCTCAAGGATGATCAATGGAAACAGGACCTGCACCTGAGCTCAATTTCGAGTCTCATAGCAAAGGGTCTGAATACTTATGTAAATAAGGTATCTTTTTTTTAAAATACATTTGCAAAAAATTCTAAAAACATTTAATTTAATCAATTGTAGAATAAGGCTTTAACGTAACAAAATGTGGAAAGTGATGGGGTCTGAATACTTTCCGAATGCACTGTATATAGCCAAGATATCTTTACTCATTGTTTATTTATTCGTCGTTATCTTTCTATTATTTTTATTGCTGCATTGTTGGGAAGGGCCCATAAGTATGCATTTTACTGTTAGTTTACACCTGTTTATGTGACAAATAAAATTGTATTTGACTCTCCCATCTTACCTTAGCCCACTCAATCATTTGGAGGAGGTCGGAGAGACTCCTCTTCACAGGGATGTAGTGGGTGCCTGGCTTCAGATGGGTGTAGAAATGCTCATAATATGGTGAGTTCTGCTTCAGCACCAGACTGTTCCCCAGCATCAGGTAAGGGAACCTGTAAGCTGCCACTGTGCCATCCACGTTCACCTGATACTTATACTGTAAATGGGAGAGGGAACTGAAGGTGTCACAGTTCTGAATTTTACAAAAACTTCAACAATGGCTAACATTTATTTATCTTCTCACTACTCAGTACTCACACATGTAAAATCTGTATTTAAATTGAAAACTGCTGGCTTTGGGTGACTGGAGTGTTCAGAATGTTCCCTCACCTTGAAGAAGTCAAAGAATCCAACAAGATTTGCTTTGCCCAGATCCTTCTCCCTTTCCCTGAAAAAGAACCAGCCAGTGATTCCGGCGTCTAGCAGCTCTGGGTATTTCTTGGACAGAGTGACCAGGTGTAGGCGCTCTTCACGACTGTCCCGGCCACGGAAGAAGGCCTGTTCTGTTTTGTTGGCCCAAGGGGGACCTAGACGCCAAGGAAACAGAGTAAGGTTATTGCAAGTAATGAGGTGTAAGTAAGCAGAATGAGGTTAAGGGATAGTGTATGAGGTTATACGTCTTACCTGTGTTGCCTTGGACTGACAGCAGGTCATTGGAAACGCCCCTCATGGTCTCCAGGGTGGAGTGAGTGATGTCGTAGGTGGGCAGGATGATGTCTCGGGTGTCTGTGGAACCGCACCAGGAGATGATTGGAACAGGCCCAGGATCGTCATCTGCTTTCCTCGTTTCCATTGGCCAGTCTCCCACATTGATGTAAAATTCCACATCAGGCAGCCTCACCTTTCAATTCAAATTCAGAGACAAAGACAGGGGTACTCAGTTTATGCTGAACAATGAACTAAACAATTACAATTATATTGAAAATACGGTATTATGAGAGTTTCAGGCAAGGGACAAAGTATAACAAAACAGTTCAGAAAGGAACATGATCATACTTCTTGATGAAAGGACAGAGACCTGCCCCCCCCCCCCCCCACAAAGCGACGATTTACCTTCCTGGCTAGTGATAGTAACATCTCATCAGAGAACATCTTGAAGTCAGTATATTTTCCCAGCGAGCGACGGTACACCTGGTTGTTGAGGACAGCGTAGTGAATGAGACCTCCTCTGTTGGAGAAGCGGCGGGGAACTTCCTGTAGGAGGCGCTGCAGGTCAATGGAGGGGAAGGCACTGAAGTCCCTCTGGATCTGGGGTTCCTCAGCAGGACACTGCATTATGCTCTGCCAGGTAGGAACATCATGCTCTGGGCAGTCACAGTACTCATGATAGACTGGGCCTGAGTATATACAACCAAAGGGATGCATCATGTGGAAGCAGTGAGAATAGATCAAATGTACAACATACTGCCATCTAGCCAAGTGTTTCCCAGCTCCTCGAGTACCCCCAACAGTACATATTTTTGTTGTGGCCTCATACAAGCACAACTGATTCTACTTGTCAACTAATCATTAAGCCCTTGACAAGTTGAATCAGGTGTTTTTGTACGGGGCTACAATAAAAACACAGGCATACTTTGATGAGGAGTTCACTGGTATTTTCTGTCAAATTATCACACTAATCTGCTTTCATTGAAATAATCGGTGAAAGTTAGCCATTGACTGATATAGATACCTTGTAGGGTGTAAGGTGACTTGGCAACGTGACTGTCTCTGTAGAGTACTTCGACCTTCAGTCCCTTGAGGATACTGCCATACAGACGGTACCTCATCAGAAAAGAACCATCTCCTCTGTCCAGGGGGAGGGGGACATGGATGCGGACATGCTCCTTCTGTGAGAGTGAGGTAATTTTCACTCTGAACGAGTCTTTACCTACATGTAAAGAGAAATACAATTAGATAGATGGATCACCTCTATAATGGGAACAACAATGTAGCCATAGGCACAATTAGAGATGGGGTAGTTTTCAGTCTGCAAAGACTAAGCTAACTAGGGGAATAAAATTGTCCCCAATCATGGACATTGTTTAAGAGTTTGATTTTGTGCATCAATAAAACATTGGCTAGAGCAACAAAAACCTGTATTTAGTAGATTACAAATTCCCATTGTATATGAGATCTCAATTTATATAGGGGTGAAATGCCTTGAAATGGATGGGTTGCTAAAAAGTTTCCCCAAAGACAACTTTGATAAGGGATGGACTTCCAGCAGATATGAAATTCATGAAATTATTGGGTGCATTCGAGCTGATCACTTTTGTCAAGTCTTTCAAAGTGTGTTGCATTCTGGGATAAAATTGTTTGACTTGCGTCTACATTTCAACTGCTTGAACTTTACAAAAATCATGAAATCAAAGGTCATGAAGTTTTGACTGCAAGTTTCTGCAGTTGCTCTTCGCCAACTTCCTCCTGCAGCCATCACCTGCATTGTGACAGGCGCTATTGTCAAGCAATCATGAGGGTGTTTTTATTTGACCAAAGACGTGACTGAAACAGGAACCAATTTGATGCAATTCATGTGTAGCCTACAGTGAATAAATATATGTGATTGAGTCTATCCCTCACTAATTGATTGTATAATGCACATGTGATTTCAGTTTGCGAGTGTGTGATATGGGTGTTGGATAAATGTTTTTTCGACATTATAAAGAAAAGCTTTATAAACAATGTCAAAGCTGTCATATTGATCTGAGCCTTGCTGTTGTAAAACCACATTAGTGTCCGACTTTCGGCTGTCGCAGATGCACTTCCCCCGACGTCACTCAACTTTCGTCTACAGTCTGTTGCTTTCGCTTTACCACTCAAACGCGCTAATTGACTTCAGGTAATTGTGCAGTTTATCAACAACACTTACCTGGAGAGAGGGTGAAGTTTTCCCCAGCTGAGTTGACAGCCTGGATGATGAAGTATCGGACGGGCAAAACGACTTTGGGGTCGAGCCCTGGACCCCAAAGAAGACATTTTTCAGGACCGACTTCACTAGCTTGACAAAACGGAAAGTCACTACAACTTGTGGATAATATTAAAACTATACAAACTAACGGAAATACACTCTGTATAGGGTTGAGTAGATCATCTTTAAGAGTCATAGTTAATTTCCTAAAGTAGACTAGCTAGCTAATATTTATGTTTAGGGTACCAACTATTCAGGCATAATCTCGTCTTCAGAGAAGGGGGGGTTAGTTTTGATATGGCGGAGTGTGATTGGACGATGGATGGACTCGTGGGTATTGAGGAATTTTGATGAAATACACACAGGAAAAAGCATTTGTTTACACAGACCAAATATCGATGGGATATTACAGAATAATACCGTATATTACGCGCTTTTAATTAAACCAGATTCGTTTAATGTCGCTCGAACTTTTTTCCAGACTGTGAATGTACCATGAAAATATCCTCGGTGTAGTCCACTGGGATCCATACTTTAGTTCCGCTAACGCACACTAGTCATAAAGCAACAGTAAATAGGCTTAACAACATTTTTGAAATTATTAATGATTCAATTATTTAAACAATTACATTATTAATTGTGCTTATGTGTGCAACGCAGGGCTCTACGGTGCGACCATTTTACTCGCATATACAGTGGGGGAAAAAAGTATTTAGTCAGCCACCAATTGTGCAAGTTCTCCCACTTAAAAAGATGAGAGAGGCCTGTAATTTTCATCATAGGTACACGTCAACTATGACAGACAAAATGAGAGAAAAAAATCCAGAAAATCACATTGTAGGATTTTTAATGAATTTATTTGCAAATTATGGTGGAAAATAAGTATTTGGTCAGTAACAAAAGTTTCTCAATACTTTGTTATATACCCTTTGTTGGCAATGACACAGGTCAAACGTTTTCTGTAAGTCTTCACAAGGTTTTCACACACTGTGGCTGGTATTTTGGCCCATTCCTCCATGCAGATCTCCTCCAGAGCAGTGATGTTTTGGGGCTGTCGCTGGGCAACACGGACTTTCAACTCCCTCCAAAGATTTTCTATGGGGTTGAGATCTGGAGACTGGCTAGGCCACTCCAGGACCTTGAAATGCTTCTTACGAAGCCACTCCTTCGTTGCCCGGGCGGTGTGTTTGGAATCATTGTCATGCTGGAAGACACAGCCACGTTTCATCTTCAATGCCCTTGCTTATGGTCCCTTTGCAGAAAAGCATCCCCAAAGCATGATGTTTCCACCCCCATGCTTCACAGTAGGTATGGTGTTCTTTGGATGCAACTCAGCATTCTTTGTCCTCCAAACACGACGAGTTGAGTTTTTACCAAAAAGTTCTATTTTGGTTTCATCTGACCATATGACATTCTCCCAATCCTCTTCTGGATCATCCAAATGCACTCTAGCAAACTTCAGACGGGCCTGGACATGTACTGGCTTAAGCAGGGGGACACGTCTGGCACTGCAGGATTTGAGTCCCTGGCGGCGTAGTGTGTTACTGATGGTAGGCTTTGTTACTTTGGTCCCAGCTCTCTGCAGGTCATTCACTAGGTCCCCCCGTGTGGTTCTGGGATTTTTGCTCACCGTTCTTGTGATCATTTTGACCCCACAGGGTGAGATCTTGCGTGGAGCCCCAGATCGAGGGAGATTATCAGTGGTCTTGTATGTCTTCCATTTCCTAATAATTGCTCCCACAGTTGATTTCTTCAAACCAAGCTGCTTACCTATTGCAGATTCAGTCTTCCCAGCCTGGTGCAGGTCTACAATTTTGTTTCTGGTGTCCTTTGACAGCTCTTTGGTCTTGGCCATAGTGGAGTTTGGAGTGTGACTGTTTGAGGTTGTGGACAGGTGTCTTTTTTACTGATAACAAGTTCAAACAGGTGCCATTAATACAGGTAACGAGTGGAGGACAGAGGAGCCTCTTAAAGAAGAAGTTACAGGTCTGTGAGAGCCAGAAATTTTGCTTGTTTGTAGGTGACCAAATACTTATTTTCCACCATAATTTGCAAATAAATTCATAAAAAATCCTACAATGTGATTTTCTGGATTTTTTTTCCTCAATTTGTCTGTCATAGTTGACGTGTACCTATGATGAAAATTACAGGCCTCTCTCAACTTTTTAAGTGGGAGAACATGCACAATTGGTGGCTGACTAAATACTTTTTTTCCCCACTGTACGCCTAAATATTTTGCTGTGCGACCTGGATTTTTAATTTAGGAGCACCAGTGAAACTAGAAAAATTAAAGATTTTAGTTTTATTACCTCAAATATTTTTCATTGTGCTCCTACATTTGTGTTCACCTACATTTTTCAACTTAGCCGCGCACACGTGCTCCTTGTAAAAAAGGTCAGCATAGAGCCCTGCAACAGTGGAGGAGATGTGATGAAGTTGGCTACAATAGTAAAATATGGATTCAATTAATGCACAGATTTAGTCCCGTTTTATTCATGTTTTTCAACAATACACAGGCCTGTAAGAAATTATTTTCACTAAAACATATTACAAAATGAAAATATTTGCACAATGTTACTCAAAACATTACCCCTTTGCTAGAGCATTGACTCTTTCTCCCAATCATCACTGCTCAAGTTGTACTCTCCATCTGTAGTTGTATCTGAGTCATACTCCTCAAAGTCTGACAAACTGGAGCTCCTGATGGGAAGTTGTTCCATGAGGCCTGGAATGAACTGTGACGTCTGATCAATGATAAGTGAATTTGAAATCTCTGTGGGCAAAATTGATGACTCATTGAACCGTAGAGGCCGGGGCAATGTCAGGCTCTTAGGGCTTAGGATGCGGTCTGTTCTATTTCGACTAACAGAGGTTCTCTGGCTCAGTATGCAAGAAAAAGCTCTGGAAAGGGTCCTGTGTGGGCAACCAAGGTCCCTTGGCCCTCTGATATCCTCCAGACTCTTTAGGTCCCTTGTGGAGGCCATATCAGTTCCTGTAGAGATGTGCCTGTTTTTTGATGTTCGGTTTGAGTAAATGTTGGTGACAGAGATGGAGCGGCCATGTTTCAGGCCAAAATCTGTAGTGGTTGGAGAGATACCAGAGTATGAGTGCTGTGTGAGTTTAAAACAGCCAGTTGTACTCCTATCTGATCTACTGTCCTTACCTAATGAGCTAAAGAAGGCATCTTCATTCTCTGTGTTGAGGCTAACATGACTGGGTCTAGAACTTGTGGAATCAATCTGGGATTCTTTTACAACAGATTGACTACTAAAATAGGGTGAATGTGGATAATTTGTTCTACTTAATTCTTCCTTTGACAGTGATGGGTTTCCATTTTTATCTATTGATATTGTGTGTCTTTCTTTGTCTTGAATATCTAACTGGGCATCCTTGGATGCTATTTTAATGGTAGACATTGTCGGCTCATTGCAGCCTCTGTTCTGTAGTCTTAGATGACCTGCCACATTATGTTGAAGGTCAATCGGTTTTAGCACTTCTTCGACCTCTGGACCCCTGCTCTTCCCTGTCCCTCTATTCTCACTGATGTCACTAGCTCCCTCAAGTGTTGAGGGCACAGTTTTCTCCTTTCTAACAAGCAACACACTCTTTTCCTCAATTCGTTTGCTACTGAATGTCATTCTGAGGCGATTCATTATCTGATCTACTTTGCGGTTGCTTCTGTATCCAGTGGGCTCTTTTTCAGTTCTCTCAGAGAAATGAGTTGCGCCCTGATCAAGCAGACCCAAGCTATTCTTTCTATTACGAAATGCAAACAAACCCTTTTTTGAAATCTGCTGTTTAAGCTGACTGATATGATGTATTTCACTATCATTAATCTCTGAACCAATCGCTTTTATTCTTTCCTCTGTCATCAAATGTTTTCTGACTGCTGGGGCACTATGTGTACACTCATGGGATCTGGTGAGATTAGTCATATGATCTGGTGAAACCGGGGGGCTGTGAAGAGGTGACTGAGGCCGGTGGGAGGCCCTGGAGCTGAGGCTGGAGAGAGAATGAGTCGTAACTGCCAGGTTGGGACCTTTGTCATATACACCTGTATAATAAGCATGGTGTTTGAACATTCTTTGGTTATTAGATTGAATGGAGGCATTCGTCTGCAGTTTCCTCTGTGGTAAACCAACCTGGGCTGCTAAATTATGCTGCTTCGCCAACATGTTGATTCTCTCAGAAGATGACAGCCATCTTGTGTTATTGGGTGGCAAGTAGAGGGAGTTATTGTCACCAGCGGTTAAATGTCTATCAAGTGACTTGGCCCTGTTAGAGCATTTTGGACTATCAGGTGCTGTAGCTAAAGTGTTCTTAGACATGGAGAGAGAGTTAAATATCAAAGATGAGCTTAATCTGGTACTATTTTCAGGAGGGTAATGAGACGGTGTGGTGTGAAGCAGGGTTCTGCTGAGTCTCTGGGGTGGAGCACACTGTAGGTCAGAGGCAGGGAACAAGGTGGGATGACTACTTGAAATGTGCTGTCTCAAGGTGACTTGACTCTCTCTGTGGTCAGAGGAGGGGAGGCCGGAGGCTTGAGCTTGGGTCTCTACATGATGGGAGGTGGGCAGTGTGGTGGAGCTGCTTGGTCTTAGCAAGGAGAACGTTCCTGGCGACTCCACACTCCATGGCCTGATCAAGGACAAATGGCGAGCTGGTGTTACGGCCCGACCAATGGTCTTCTGAAGCGGACTTCTCTTCACGTTAGAAAACTGAAGCTTTGGAGGTCCATGTGGGCTGTGAAAGGGAAAGGTTTTTACCTCAGGGGAAATACTCCCCACAGTGTCAGTCCTGGGTAGGGACTTCTGTTGAAGTTCAAGGCAGGGGGTGGACATGTCAGGGTGGTGGGCACTGATGGGGCTGCTACATATGTTCAGAGTTGGGCTGTTAGAGGGAATAGACATTTTCAATTCAGCTGATGGTTGGATGTGTTCTCTCCATTGGATAGATGTGCAATCCTCATGCTTCACTGGAGGCTGGCTGACTGGTTCTGATGCTGGTCCAGTTACTCTAGAATTGTCTTGGTCCTCTCTCTGAGTGGTGCTGCAGTGAGCCTGACCTATGGCCATGGAAGAGAACAAGATTGACATTCACTTTTGGCACATCTGTTTACATTGGTATGTCTTTTCTAGGAAACCAGCCTATTTGAGAGATACCTAATCTTATTTCCTGTATTAAGTATGTTTAAATATCAGACCAAAGATTACAGAAAAAAAAGCCAGCTAAACTTATATGGCTCCATTTGTATGTACATGGGTTACAGAATGGTCTGTTTTAG